AACAACTAACTATTCGATAAAAAAAACTTACTTAAAACAAATTTTCAATTCATTAACTAGTTAAACTTTAACATTACCTCCTTGTCCCAAATCACTAAATAAAAATATTTATTAATTAAGTATAAAAAAAAAAAAAAAAACCACTACAACCTATCTTCATAAATCCCTTTCTTTCATTTTTTTTCTCTACAGCATACAATCTGCCCTTTCATTTCCACTTACATTTTTGCATCCACCTTCTAAATCCCCAGTCCAAAAAAATTCCGCTCAAACAAAAATTACAGGTACAGACTTCAAAGAAGAAAATCATAATTCCGTCTTAGTTTCCACCGCAGAAAGATACAATTTTGGTGGTTAGTATTACTATATGTCAAACACAGGTGTATTACACTTCCCCTTACATTTTCTACCACTAACTTAGTAATTCCCCCACAAAGATCTTCATCGACTCCATTCTCTTCAACAATTAAGCCATTCAAGATGTTAGAATTTCTCATTTATTTCCGCAAATTCCTTGCTTTATTGGTTTTAATTTCTTCAATTTATAAAATGAGTGCCTTTTCGGAGAATTTGGAATATTTTGTCTAGCGTCCTTTGATTGGGAATTTGGGAATTTTTTTGGGGTGATGATCATGCTCGTGTATAGGTTTTTGATATATGATATAGGAGATAGTATGATTTAAGGCAAATTACTGGACATTTTTATTGGAAAGGCAGTGTAGGGAGTTGCTGGGACTGATAACATAAAATTTGAATCCAAAAAATTTAACCTTTATCTAAAACCCTAGGCTTAAACAATCCAGTTCTCAAAGCCCCATTGTAGCTTCGATCAAGGCCGCTTTTGTCCTTCATCTTTCTTTACAGTGTCGTTATCTTCACTCTGTTATTTTTTCTACTTGCAGATATGTTGCTGTGCTCTTCCATTATGTCTTTATAGATTATATGTGCATTTTGTGTCTGGAAATTGATTGCATCTTTGGAGTCAAATATGTCTTTAATGTCATATTGTTTTCTTATTGTCTTGTCTAGGGTATTTGATATTAACTGTAAATTCAGTTTTTATGTTTATTTTCTTTGAAATTATACCATGACTCCATCTACAATATGTCAAACGTTGTATTGGGGAAATTAGTGGTAGTGAAAATGAATTCTAGATAGAAGGAAAAAATGAACCATCATTACTAAGGAAAGTAAGCTGAAGATGGTAGGAGCATATTTACCCTTGATCCATGATAAAGATTTAGACTGGATTTAGTTTGGATGATCTCAAAGAATCACCAAATGGCCCACAAGACTGTAACAATGGTGAGGGACCAGCAAGCCCAAATGTGATTCAAGTGTGGACCGTAAACCAATTGAAGAGGGAAGTGGACAGCAGACTGGGGAGCAACCACTTGGAAGCCTTACCATCGACAAACCCGCATCCATGGTGAGAAGACTCTTTTGCAGTGCAGAAAAACGTGATCAATATCCTCCTGACTTCCTTCGCAGAAAGCACAATCAAGCGAAATATTGACGCCCCTGTAAATGAGATTGATCTTTGTTGGAAGCCGATCAAGAAAAAATCGCCAAGCAAGCACACACACTTTTCAGGGAGCAAACTTGGAACTGTTAAGAATTATGGATAATTAATAAAATAATTAATAATTATTATTTAATAAATTAAAATTAATTTATAAATAAATATGTTTAAATATTATAATTAATCATTTTTAAAAAGATTATAAATTAAAAAAATTACAAATAATATTAATATTTTTAACAAAATTAATTGTCACCATAACTTAGTTCAAAAGTGATACATGAACTACATACAGGGAGCAATGTATAGTTGGCTTGAACCTTATTAGAAATCATCTTCATCGTCCCTCTCCTTAAAAAGAATAAAAGGTTTTTTTAAAGAAAGACGAGGACTACTTTTAATTAAGAAAGATGGAAAGATTTAATAAAATTTCTATGTTCTTCTGGACAAAGAAAAAATAAAGATAGGATTTCAGTCGATTTTTACTATTTAATCTTTTTAAGTAAAAAATAAATAAAAAACATGTACTGTAGATAGATGGAAAATGGACAACTTGACCAACAACAACAATTTTTTTTACTTAATTTAATAAATAATCTATTAACTTTCATATTTTTTTAATTTCATTTTTTTTATATTAGTTTCATCTATTATCTTTAAATTTTTTTGACTTTTATCTATTATTTTTAACATTTGTTTTAATTCCATCTAGTCCGTTAAATATTGTCATAACTCAAATTTTAGTAAAATTTTATTTCATTTTTATTTTTATTTTTATTTTAACTAATATATTTTTTCCTTGTTTTACTTGTTAGGTTCATTCAAAAAATGGGGGGGCAAAAAGGAAATTTTACGAAGAAGATTGGAAAAGAAGATGAGAGAAAGGACTCAATTGAAGAAATGGAAAGTTGGAGGGGTGAAATGCAAAGTCTAGCCCAAAGCCCATCAAACCCAAATACCCAAAACCCACCAAAATCCAAAGCCTACCAACTAACCAAGCCCAAAATCCTAAAACCAAAAATTACCCAAAACCCAAAACCCACAATTACTCAAACCCAAACCCATTTAACCTAAAAAAAAAAAAAGAAAAAAAAAAAGGATCTGGAACCTTCTTCCTCCTGACCCGACTTTCTCATTTTCCTTCCCTCCCCAAAACCAGCCAACAGTTTCATCCCCAAAACCAGCTGGCAGCCACATGCCGGTCATCATGCCCCTACCACACCTACGCCCTGCCTTGCCCAGCCCAGACCCTCTGCACTGAACCAGCTTCCACCCTCCTCTGCATCAATCTCCAGCTCTGCGCCCAATCCCTGCCCTGCAGCGAGCCCTGCCTCGCACGCTCCTGCTCCCTCTCCTCTGCGCCTCACTGCCGGCCATCATGCTCCTGCACCAGATCCCGTGCCTTCCGCGCCTCCTGCACTCTGCGCCTCACTGCCAGCAATGATGCCCCCTACACGCCCGAGCCATCATCAGCACTCCACGCCCCTACCTGCCTAGCACCCGAGCCTTACTCCTGCGCTTGACCGCGCTTGACCGTGCCTTCGGCTCCCAGATATCTCCTCTGCGCCTAGATTTCGTGCAATCATGCACTCCTGCACCCCCTGCACTCATTACCCCCTGTTTGCTTCCTGCTTCGCTGTGCCGATCTGCACTCATCGCCCCGCCTCTTCCCCGAACCAATCGCCAGCCGATCCTGCACTCATTAGCCGCCTGCGCCCCTGTTGCAGCCCGATCCTCTGTGCCGCTGCAACCCAATCTTGCAACCCGATCTTGTACCTGCTCTGATTGTCTGTTCTCCTTGTCTCGTTCTTCTACAAGTGTGGGTATAAATAGAGGGTGTTCTTGGTTGATACGGGGCGGGGGAGATCGATTTTGGCTGTTTGATTTTGGGGAATTTGATTTTCTTTCTTGGTTGATTCTGGGATTCTTTTGGTCTGAGTTTGAGTCTCGTCGGAGGTGGCAGCAAGAGAAAGGGGACTGCTGAGCGTCCAGAATTCACCGAAGGAGATCGTGCATTTTCTGGGTTTCTGTTGTCTTAGGTAAATTACTGGAACTGAGAGGATTCGGGAGGGGTGGTGAAGGTGATGAACAGAGTTTGATCCCGTGAGTGGGATCCCTCTGTTTGGATCTTGATCCGTTCCTTTCCTGAATTCTCCGCTGTAGATTTTACATTTTCTTCCTTTGATGCTTTGTGTTGTTTAGTGATTGAAATGCTGAAATTTATGTGTATCTGTTGAGAAATGGATGGTAGATTTACTAGTATGAAATGAATATTTGCTGTGTTCGAAATGGAATGCATGTTTTCTGCAAATTTTTTTTTAGACGAACCCTAGTTTCCTCATGTTGTTTGCACGTTTAATCTTCTTTTGTTCATTTTCATGCTCGGATTGTGTTTCTGGATTGGGTCGGCCCGACCCAGTCCAGTAAAAAAAAAACTAAAAACAAAAAAAGTAAAAAATGATATAATATAAATAAAAAGGATTA